ATTAATTGAATCTTGTGGAACTTGAGTATGTTATAGAATTCGTTATGAAAAAGATTTTTTTGTTATTACACAACATCGACTTGATTAGTAAAATAATGACTTTTTATATCACCGGAATTATTCAATTATTTTCACTGATCATCAGGTGAAGCGATACTTTTTTCCAGTAACTGTATTAAGATAATTATAAATTAACAGGATGGTTTACCAATATTTTACCAAATTGAGTTCTCTATTTAGATGTACATTTAAACCCGCTTCAGAATTTACATTAATACTATCTCCTTCTCCTTCTCCTTCAACATCTTCATTCGTCAAAATATTTGGACCTTTTTCTAATCTTTCAACAAATGAATCTACATTTTTGAAAATCCCTCTCTTGTAAAATTCTTTGCAATATTTACATCTTTTGTCTAATATATCATAACAATTTATATGATATCCATGTCCACATATAAGTATTATTCCTTCATCACCTTCGAAAGTTCTTTTGCATTTATCACATAGTTTAGGATCTGGTGGAAAAGATGTATGGTAACCAGCAGGAAGACATTTTAACTCTACATTTTTACCTAATGTTGTTAATCTGTAAGTATTTTTTAGGCTTTTGTAGTTAAATATTCTAAATTTGGTTCAGAATAAGGGTAATTGTGAGCCTTTTTAAAAGTATTTATTGTTGATTGATCATGAAGATCAAGTAGATATGCTTGCTTAATAATTGCCTCTGCTGAATGTAAGGAGGTTGTATTTGCTCTTATTTGGCTATGAACATTTTCTACATAATAATCATTAAAATTAACAATATATGATTTTATTACTTCACTAAAAGGATGACTGTTGTCTTTCCAATAGTAATAGTCTGAAATGAATGCCAAGGGAGCTTTATTATAATTTTTTTGATTCCACCTTAGTGCAAAAGTCCAGATACGAAAAAGTGTTTCTAAATATTCATCAAATGAGCCAGATCTAAATAAAAGAGCATAGATGTCTAATGTAGATGGTATTAGGTTATCTAATAAATCCAGCATTAATCTATATTCTATGTCTTTGCAAGTTTTAGGAAATTTATTTACAACAATATGTGAAATTTTCTTCCACCCTTTATCTGCAAGGTCTAATAGAAGGTTGATCCTCCAAGGTTTGGGTTCTTTTGCTAGAATTTTTTTGGGTCCAAAATGTAATGAAATAGTTTATTAAAAAATTCCCAATGTATTTTTATAATATGTTCTCTTGAATTCAAGGACACATGTAGTGGTCCTATTAATGGAACAAAATTTTTGATAATATTATAATTATCAAAGTTGCCTTGCATTTCCTGTTGTTGAATTTTAGTTATTGCTTTTCTGATAAATAATTGACCTAGCCAGTCAGCAGAAACAGGTATTATATTATTTTTCAAATATTCTGAAATACTTTCTATTTTACTAATTGATAAAAGAACTTGAACATAATCATCTAGAGAATGCAGATTTCTTTCTTGTACCTCAACAATACGAACACCTTTCATGGATCTTTCATGATGTCTTCCTAAAATTGAAGCATCATAAAAATGAACAAGAAGAAGACCAATTCTATTAAATTCATTAAAACTTTGTGGATTTTCTGTAATCCATTTTGCCTTACGCATATTATAACTAATGTCAACCACCCCTTGAATTCATTTAATAAATGATGGTTTATTCTTGAGGCTTCAATATTTAAAGGGTTATGGATAAATACATTATCATGACTACAGGTAGCCATATGATTTGCTGTTGAAAGTGTTGTAGTATTAGGCACCCTCCATCCATGAATGGAATGATAATCATCAATGTTAAAACAAAATAAAGAATCTGCCTAAAGGAAATGATGTATGTTTAATAATTTATTTTAAAGAATCAACCCATAGTAGAATGAAATTAACTTACATTTATAGTAAAATACTTGTTTATTTTTTGGGGGTGAGTATTTGCAAGCTGTTTTTTGTAGTTTTCAATAGTTTTGTATGAAGTTGTTATTCCAATTCTTGATAGCGTGTCAATTGCATCACTACTTGTTCCCGACCCAGCAAGGTATAGTCCAAGATCAAGTTTTATAGAATTGGTAAACTTATTTGCAGTCCAACTAACAAATAACAAAATATTACAATAGACCTTTTAGCAGCTTCCTTATTATCTATCTGTTTTTCTCTCCGGAATTAGAGCATCCACCATTTCATCAAAAAACCCATGAAGCCTCAAATCAAATTGTTCAATCATTTCAGAAAACTTAATTGGGTCTAGTTCAATTTTATCTTTTAATGTTCTTGATTTTTGTTGCAAATAAATTATTTCTATTAAATTAAATATAGTATATTAATACAGTGCAGAAGGCCTATAATGGGAACTTAGAAAAATTGAAATATCATGTGATCCACACATCAGATTTTTTAAAAAATACCACCATTGAACTCAGCTTTAAAAAAGGAATCGATTTATGGAGTAAATTTTTTTTCTCAATTTTCAATTTGTAGATCTTTCTTAATTTAGTAATTTTATTTACAACAATTTATTTAAATTACATTGTTAATTTCATCATAAACCATATCAGGAACTTGTCTATGGGATTTATATTTTTTATTTGCAAATTCAGCTACTTTTCCTGTTAGACCTTTTCTGTAAATGTCCATATAACGCCATGATTTTTGTGCATATCTACGTAAAGTAATTAAAGGAACTGAATCTAATGCTTCTGGAACTGTTTTTTGCAGACCAGTCCAGGTATAATTACAATTA